GGTGACTTGATGAGACTCCAGCCACACTCATTCTGAGCCTCTTTAAGAAGTCCAGGTTAACACACTGATGATTATTATATGGCTTCCCAAAGAAGAGTGAAATAATGTGGTAACACTATCAATGAATTACTACCACAGTCACAGTTGTCTGTTAGATTGCTACATATGGTATACATAAATAGCATGTGCTGAAAAATTCTTGAATTAATAACTCCTTAAGCATCGCATTAAAAAAAAACCACACAAAGATTACTCTGTGAAAGTATTTAGTAAGCCAAAAGGCAGCATTCTTCATTTTATGGTAAAGATAAAAAAATATGAAAAAGTGGCCAGCAAGGAAAATCATTAGTCATTAATATTTAATGTACCTTACAGCTAGTTGACAAATTTTAGGTAAAATGTGACACAAAGTTGTATTTAATAACATATTTATAATGATTTACTTTATTATTATTATTATTATTTTTTTTTTATCCTCACCCAAGGATATGTTTTTAATTGATTTTAGATAGAGAGGAAGGGAGAGGGACAGAGAGAAAAACACCAATGTGAGAGAGAAACATCAATCGGTTGTCTCCTATATGCACCCTAGCAGGGATCGAACCTACAACCTGGGTCTGTGCCCTGACTGAGATTCACACCCATCACCCTCTGGTGCACGGGACAACGCTCCAACCAACTGAGCCAGGGCTATCATGATTCACTTTAAAATGTAGTTTTCAATTAGATACTTTACCAAAAAGTAGAAATTCTCAAATGCAATCACCGACCCACAGGATCCTATGTAACTCATGGTGACTTTCCATTGTTTATCAACCACTATGCTGTAGAAAATTTTGAAAGACTACAACTATAATTTTTATCATTAAAACTAATGGCAGACAAGGACTTTAAATAATATCAGACCAACTCTCCTGCTTTCAATAATTATGAACTCTGGACAGAATATTAAAGGTACCAGAGAGTAACCGAAAGCAGACAAAAACTGGAAGGGATATGAGGCTCACAAAAAGAAGAGCAAACTTCCTTTTCCCTGAAGGCATTCCCCAGTCCATATAGCAGAAGAGGGAGAGAGTGCGAGTAGAAAAAGGAAGTCTCACTGGCTGAGCAGTCAAAGGTGTCTGGACCCATCAGAGCAGCTGCAACTTGAGGAGCCAGCACCACAGACAGAGAAGTCCTGAGTGCCAACAACTCCACTCGAATCCGTAAGTGATTCCTGACTAGGCATGAGCAAGATGATAGGTAGGAGCCCAAGAGAATGCAAGAGTTGGAAGGCTGAAAGCCTGAGCATGGTTCTGGGGAGTGGGAGGTTTGAATTCAAGTCCTACCAAATTAGAGGTGCTTGGGAAACACCCGGGATTGGGGAAACACCACTAGTTTCCACCGAATCCTCTTAGGGGTCATACTTTGGTATGGCCCATATCCCAGGACTAAGACTTAAACCATCAGACTAAGGGCCTAACAGACCCACCAAAGCAAAGCCTAAAACCAAGCCCTTCACAGGATCATGGTGATCTTCCCGTAATGCAGCTGCCTGCTAGACCAAAACTCAGTGTTCTTTAGTGGAAGATAAACTTGAAGATGCATCACTCATGATGTCCAGTAAGTATGAAGCACAGAAAAATTGTACCCACAGTCAAGAGAAAGCGATGTTGAGAGAAACACACCCAAAGACGAACCAGATGTTAAGAACTGACAGACAAGGACTTTAAATAATTATGATAAGCATGTCTTAAAAATGCACACTTTGTGAATTTTACAAATAGTAACCTCGCCCACCCCCAACATTCTAGTGAACTTGAGTTGCCCATGATTTTTAATCAAATTGGGATTTGGGATGGTTTATATCGGAAAGTCTGAGACAAGCAACTTGAAAGTGATTAATGACAGCTAAACTTAATTATATATTTACACCTCCCAGTAGGACAAGGGAGAGAATGAAATGTCTTATCTCTCTGTAGTGAGAGGGCTTTATTGAGATCTGACAACAACTATTTAGGAGCAATGATTGAGTTTTATGCAAGATTACACAGGCTCTCCTTGCCTGGCATCCCAATATAATCACAGACTGACTGACTACTTAGACTCCTAACAGTGAAAAGAAAAAACAACAGAGTTGAGCTGTGTACAAAACGAACCTTTGCAAGTACTTATCCTCATCCGTCAATGTGATCTTACCAAGGATTTCTATAATTTCTGTAAACAATCATTATATTTTAGCTGAATCAGTAACATTAGGCTCTTTATACAGATAGTCAGATACCTTCTACTTTAAAACGTTTTCCATTAATTTCCACTCCACCCACCAAAGGAATTTGGCTTTAACTTTCTTTTCTTAATCCACTAAGCAATCTCATAAATAAAAGATAATCATATGCCCTGCATGTCTGATGTAATTCTTATAAACCTTCTAAGTGTTCTAATATTCATTTACCATTTTGTGAAAATAATATGTACTGAACAAGCTGGATTACCTACCTTCTTTCCCCAGGGAAAAACAACATTGATGAAGATACATTGAAAGGTCTGTAAGTAGATGTTACTTTTGCTTAACATTCTATGGCGAGTCTATGGCCTGGGACTGACTTGCCTCCCTGATACTGTCCTTGCATTTCTTGCGTCCACTTATGCTGACACTGTCACTCCTGAAGATGCTAATTTATTTTACTCAGGTAGAGAAACACTCTTTTCCCCCCAAGTTTAGTTGTTCATATTGGTCTCCCAAAAGGATGGCCTTGCCCATTTTTTTTTTCTTACTGAGCCTTTCTCAAAAAACTTGTTTCTCTTACAACAGGGTTGGAAGACACCTGAGGGACCCACCCAGAACTATATCCATAAGCAATCCACCCCATCAACAATGAGTAAGTATCTAGGGACAGAACTCAGGCAGCTCTGTTTACGTCATTCACAAAGCGAGTTCCCTGTTGCCTAGCAGTGCTTCTTCCATAAACTGGGGGCAACAGTCTCTCACCTTGGTTGGAGAGTTGGAGACTAGCAGCCCACAAATCTGTTTGCTCCCAAAAGCGATCCTTAGTGTCCTTTCCTGGTAAGTGCTCAGAAATTGGTCTCCTCTAGAAACCATCTCTCTCTATGTCAGACCACAAATATGTAGGCCAACTCTTAGACCCTATTTATAAGGTGAAATATCTCCAAATAAATTGGAAGTAAACGAAATTGCCTACCATCCTAGATGCTATGTGAAGCAAATGAAATTCTTAGAGAGGACCGGTTTCTTCTGAAGACAAATGGATTTTTAAAAATGTGAACGATGATATCTATTGAGCACTCTTTGGTTCAAGAAACATATTGCTAAACACTAGCTACATGCCAGGCATTATAACTATACAAAGATGCATAAGACCAGGACCTTACAACCTAGTAAGAGAAACCAATATATCAATAAATGATCATAATGTAATGGGTTAACTATCACAAGAGAGCTGAATAATAGAATAACGCAAGTAGCTAAGACACCAGATGCCAAAAAGGGACTTAACAAGATTTCAGTGGCCGATTCTAAGGTATTAAGTTCCTTCCCTTTTTATTTCCAGTTGTGCTTCTGTTCTTAAGAGGAAAATGTATCACATGTTTTGAGGTGGGTTTTTTTTCCAGCTAGAAAAACTAAGTAAACAGCACATAATCAGTTACATAAAAAATTTCATTTCCGCCCTGACCAGTTTGGCTCAGTGGATAGAGCGTTGGCCTGCAGACTGAAAGGTCCCAGGTTCGATTCCAGTCAAGGGCATGTACCTTGGTTGCAGGCACATCCCCAGTGGGAGGTGTGCAGGAGGCAGCTGATCTATGTTTCTCTCTCATCGATTTTTCTAACTCCTTTCCCTCTCCCTTCCTCTCTGTAAAAAATCAATAAAATATATATTTAAAAAAAAAAATTTCATTTCCAATGTTATCTTTATTCCAATCCAAACAACCTATTGTTAAGACTCACTGTCATCATAGCTTAAACTATTTTCTCTTCAGTGAAGAAAATTCCTTCTGACTTGGAAAAATTCTTGTTGTATGACATTAAAAAACCTAGATCTTGGTGAGAATGGACTTAATGGGAACAAATATCATTATTATCCTTATGGTATTTGATTAAATATCCAGAGAAGAAACAAAAATGTGTTGGATAAACTCCCTTACAATGTTTATTAAGTAAATTCTTATACAAA